ATGGGCTTCACACATTGTACCCATGTCGGGAATCGATCCCGGTCTTCGGCGTGACGAGCGAACGCTCTAACCACTAGGCTACCCGACCGCCCCTGAACATACTTGAAAATACACCTCGACATGATGCTGCAGTTTATAACACTGTCATTCTCACCTTGGCATCGACCCGTGAAGATCCGGGTAGAATAGGTCTTCAGCAACCCACGCATACCGTAAAAGGCGACTATGCTCGTCGTAAGAGGGGACTAAAGGGATCGGGTGGTCAGGCTCGTTGACTTGGTTGATGCATGTCATCGATTCCAATTGTGCGTATCGATGCTCATGATGTCAATCACTGCATTGTCTGGTCCAGACTCGATTATTTACAGACCGCCGTCATATAGCTTGAATATTGCGGAGTGCAGCGTTAGGCAACAAATAAACAAACAAACACTTTGTCATCAACCTATCTTTAATGTTAAGGCCCTGCAAGTTTTCAATCCGTTTTCAAATCGTTCTTTGGTATGATCCAATCAGTATCTAAATAAAACATATTTTGCCAGTTCTGTTCACGTTCTTGGAATTCCCCTTCTTTTTTAATAGTCGATAACCTATAGTTTAACAAACCCTTGGGTTGATATTTGAATATGAGGATGTTTCGGATTATAGCATTTGCGATACATAACTTCAGCAGAGCCATCTTACATCTAAACAATAAACAAGTTTAACCACACAACACAGTTACACAGTCGACACAAAACATGATTTTTGTGCATTAACTTTGTGCAAAATTCAAGCAGCTCCAGTTTTCTATGTCATTCCACAGGTGCAATCGCGCATGCTCTTTCTACGAACATGTCAAAGAGTGTCTAATCATGCATGATAACAGCATTAAAGGCCTCAGTAATGCTTTCAAAACTTTTATGGTAGACATGTGGCGGACCATCAGTGCCAAAAATGATGTCCGATAAAATTCTTTATTTCGGCCTGTACCATAATTTTGTTCCTGTGTTTCACCCTCGCGAAAACGGGTAAATCACCATCTGATATTGATTCAAAAACACAATTATGCACAGATGGCCCTGAGGTTCTGCAATTCGCATGGTCACCTCAGAAAGTTATGATCGTGGGTTTGAATCCCGGTTCGCCACGATTATGTTTCTAGGTTTGTCAGCACCGTACCCGTGCTCGTGGTTACACCAAAGTGGTAAACGTCTGAAACTTGCATCACTTCGGGCTTTCCATTCACATTAAGCTGAAACGCCGTAAAATAACTGGAACTCTGTTCAACGCTGCGTTCTAACCCGACTGACTCACTCACACTCGCATACTTTATATAATAAAATGTGGTCGGAATCGCACAATTCTTTCTTGTCATTATGGAAATAGGTCTTGTCACTTTTATCGAAATAAAACATATGTAAAGATCTTTGAAAAGAGTTTCTTAAATTGCAATGTTAAAGGAATTGTCGTAACTGCTTTCGGGCGTCCAGTGCGACCCTACTACAGTTACTAAATGTATTGCCGTTCCTGGTCATCATGGTCAATTACGCCATGACTTTGCCACTCGCCTTGTCCGCAGCGGCTCGGCTCCGTCAAGAAGTGATTGGTCCAACGACGCTTACTCCAAGTTGTCTCTATCAGCATTCATACTCGCATAATAAAGAAATGCAACACCAGCTTTATACTCACATAGTTTTACTTACTCTCAGCCCATCTATCACTACAGAACAGGATCAGACTGGCCAGACTCGTCACTAAATGGGGAAAACTTGGAACGATCAGGATTCGACTTGATCGATTGCAAACCGCGCTCTCCTCTCCTAATGTTGAAGGTATAATTTTATAGTGTTCGGGCCTGGCCTGTCTTTGTCACATGTCACAATACCTCATTTTGATTCGTTAAAAGTTAGATCTGACCATAAACACAAATACAGAAGCCTACGTGCCAGGTTGCTCATCTCTCTATTGATTTTGTGACTCGCATCCGGAAGCTCCAAATGAAATATTCCTTGAAACTCTCAATTTGTTTCATTAACTAATGGATGATAACCAGGAACCAATCCAGTGATAATTATGAAATGTCCAGAATACACTTGTGATAAATGTGAAATGTCTTTTATCTATTGGTTCCTTTCAAACTAAAAGTTCTGTCACAAACTATATCTAATGCAACTCCTCATTGCAGCTATAATGGTTTTATTTGTTACCATTTTCTAATGTTTTTGAGATGCATTTTTAACCTTATAACAGAATGTTTAAATACAATCATAGATGTAATTTGAACGATCAAACGGAAAAGTCTTCTCTTGTTTATAGTCATGCATATATCCCTTTTCAGAGATGTAATGTGAAATGACATCAACATGCCTGAAATTGTCAAGACGTGAATTTACATCAATAGTTTATATACTAATTTCCTGAAATAGATAGTGCGGCAACCATCCAATGTCCCGTGATATGTTATGCATGTTTGTTTGTTGTTTATCGCCGCACTCAGCAATATTCAAGATATATGACGATGGTCTGAAAATAATCGAGTCTTGGCTTTCCAGTGACTGATATTATGAGCATAGATCCACGCATTTGGGATACGATGACATGCACCAACCAAGTCACCGAGCCTGATCTCCCTATTCCGTTGGTCGCCTCTTACGACATGCATGGGAACTTTGCAGAAGACCAATTCCAGCCCGGATCATCACGGGGCATTATATGTTATTACATATATTGTAGACCGCCTCTGTGGTCTAGTGGTAGAGCGTCCGCCCGGAGAGCGGAAGGTCCGGGGTTCGATCCCCGACCGCGTCATACCAAAAGACGTTAAAAGATTGCACTTGTTGTTACCCTGTCTGGCGCTCGGCATGAAGGGGCTAAAACAAGGACTGGTCGGCTCGGAGTCAGTATACTGTGCCTGAGTGGGGTATTCATGTTAAACTGCGGCGTGGTATCTCAGTGTGCTAGCACTATAAATCGGCATCAGTCCGGACTAGTACAAGCAGCCACACAAACACACACACGTACATGCACGTCGCTATATAAGTGCAATAATCTTGGACGCGACGTTAAACCCCATTTCACCTCACCACATATATTGTAACGGTTGCATATACGTGAACCAACACGCTAAAGTGTGCACATACCGAAAGGAAGCGTACATTATTAATCGAAGGAGTTGTACTTCAACCGAGAAGTGACGCAGACACGGCAAAGCACACCAATATGTATTGCATTTAGCAGTGCTGAATGTTTTCTAATAGGAAGTAGAATAGACGCGTAGGTCAACATTTCGTCTCTGTATTGTATTTTGTTATACCTCTATCAAGAATCTTGCAATACTTTCAGTTGGTTAATCCGTACTACGTGACGAAACTCAATCACAGGATTGTCTGGTCCAGACTCGATTATTTACAGACCGCCGTCATATACATTGGAATGTTGCCCCAAAAATCATGTGACTGACACTGCCCTCGAATATTGACTCGTCATATGATCAGTATTGACCTGGTTAAAGGATTCATAACCTTTAAAGTGAATATAGGTATAACAAAGCGAATGATTACTTTTGACGAGGTCAACCTGCAAAAAAAAAAACAAGGACCCTCGGAAGCGGGTCCTTGGTTACTTATTTTCCCATACTGACCTCGTCAAAAGTAATTATTTGTATATAAAATTTTGGCACAAACGGTTCCCTCTTACCTCTCGCGTGACCTCCAGATACAAAGAGACAAAAATAGCGGTTCACCTGGATAACATATACCAACACCGTGGTAATGTACACCAGACGTTCCTTGTATGATACAGCGGCTGGTTGTCGGATGTGATGCCTATGTGTGCCCTGGTTGAATGTTGGTATACAATTGCGTGCCGTTGGACAGTGACTATCTTCAGGGGAAGAATATGTGTTAGTATGATACTAACTTGTTGAATGGAAGATACAGTTTTGTTCCATCTTGAAGAATGTGATCATCTTAAAGATATGTGGATGAGGTGTACCCAATAGCTTCATAATCTTACTGTTCCACCCCAACACGTGATTCACGTTTCTCCTCCCGTCAGCATTGTGGAGGTTCCACATCTGGCCCCATACCTCGCGACCCTGGTTACATTCGTCCCTGTAGGAGGTACCAGGTGGAATGTTGTTATTGTTAAACAAAATTATATGATGTATATAGTATCAAACACTGATATAATTCTTTAACGAATATTATTTTTTACCAAAAGTGTATTTTTGACAAAATTTGTTATTAAGGAATACGCTATGTTAAAACAGAGTTACCTGAAATTACCTGGAAGACGTTGGAACTGTTTTGGACTCTTCTCTATCGCGGGTCTTCAGGTGGGCAATAAAGTCGTCAACTTGGATCGTTGCTTGGTCGGCAACGTGGTTAAAGGTGTTCTTATTGTTGAGGACCATGACAAGTAGGTGTTGAGTTTTGCATGACGCGTTTTCATACATTTCAAGTAGACTGTCTCCCTTTCTGTTTTAACTCTATATTTATATTCCGACTTCTCCCTGCCATCACAATTAGGAACGTATCGTAATGATATTTGTGCGTTTGCCTTGATTACAATGCCAGTGTAAACACGTGGTAACAATAACCGCCTGGTAACGTCGTTAAGAATGATGTGGCAATGGGTTCAACCACTGACATTTCCCTCTCCAGGCAGACGCTCTATCCACTACACCACGGAGGTGGTTTGCGTGAGTGAGTGAGTTGGGTTTAGCGCCGCTTTTAACATTATTCCAGTTATATCGCGGCGTGTCAGCTTAATGTGGGAGGAAAGCCCGAAGTGATGCAGGTCTCAGACGTTTACCACTTCGGTGAAACCCACGAGCACGGGTATGGTGCTGACAAACCTAGAAACATAATTGGGCGAACCGGGATTCGAACCCATAATCATCGGTTTCCGGCGTGCCCAAGGGACGCAACTCTGCACACCGAATCGCGGCGCCTTAGACGACTGGGCCACCCGTGCCCCCGGAGGTAGTTTCAGACAATTACAGATGGGTTGATGAGACGATGTATGTATCGTAAACATACATAGAAACGCTTAGATTCGTGTACGTGTACGTCGTTGTAGCTTTTAAGGCCGTGTTAAGCGCACAATGTCGCAACGTTATTGGAGTACTGGATCTGACCTCGACCATGACGTTACAAGAATACACAAAATCACTACAGATTTATTAAAGCGGCCTGTCAATATTTTGGTTTGGACCAGACCAAACAGTGACTGTTATTACGTATATTGTCAAACTCCGGATCCGTCCGGATGCGATGGCATGCACAATCATGTCAACGAGCATGACAGATCAATCTCAAAAAGATTGCTGGTAGCCTGGAACGCGTTACCCTAACCTTCAGGAATTGGTAACACTAACACTGGCAACATTTGTCCCACAGAACACAATATAAGATAATATTTTGAAGGGACCACCCCAAAGAAAAAACAAAAACAAAAACAAAAAAACAAAAACAAACAATCAAAAGATTACAATACGCACTTCTTTGATTCTATGAGTTGAATACACACTGTAGGAATTAGCATTTAACACACTTTCGTGTCACAAAGGATCCGTACTGTTCAAGAAGACACAATGAAAGTTTGCTCAGAATTCTCGTCTCTTCCTACATACAGTTATTGCTGCCGTTGATATGGAACTTAATAGGAAACAAACACCTGAAACAAAATAAACAAGTGAACGTACGTTTTACAAATAGTTATGTTATACAACCTGTCCTTATGCTTGGTACTGATACTGGTGTTCAAAACACGAGCCGCCTTCCAATTATTTGTACTACAGCGAGTTTCAGAGTTGAGAGATTTTACTTCACTAGAATTGTCAGAACAGCTTCACAGTGATTAGATGTTACACGTACCCAAATGGGAAGTGGAACATGTGTCATTAGCTTGAAGAACCATCGCTTTAACCCTTAGGCTAACTTACCATCTAATGTTGTATGACATCTTTTCTTACTTACATGTAGTTCCGGCCCATGAACATCCGGGGTAGAATAGGTCTTCAGCAACCCATTCTTGCCGTAAAAGGCGACTATGCTTGTCGTAAAAGGCAACTAACGGAATCGGGTGGTCAGGCTCGCTGACTTGGTTGATGCATGTCATCGATCCCAATTGCGTGGATCAATGCTCATGATATTAATCACTGGATTGTCTGGTCCAGACTCGATTATTTACAGACCGCCGTCATATAGCTGGAATATTGCTGAGTGCGGCGTAAAACAACAAACCAACCAACCAACATGTAGTTCCAAAACCCCTACTACCCAAAAAACATTCACATGATGTAACAATGGGTTCACTGTTAAATTACGCAGTTCACTGAATAATTGTATGTCAAGTAAAAATGCTGCAACAACCTTTATACACTTTGAAGTTTTCTATTCTCGCGTCAACGGCGCGATGCGATCATGACGGTGTTCGCGTTTCAGAAGAGTTAAATATCCAAGAAGTTATTTGTTTTAACATAAATCGTCAGACAAAAGTGAAACAATCTTAATCTTTTTCCTATTCAACCTGGAATAGTCTCATATGAATTTAACAACATTTATTTAAACAAGAAACGCGATTGGTTAATAGGCCCGAAAACCTACACAATGACCTCTCCCGTACAAAATAGCACATCAGTGTTGATCTGGATGTGTTGCATCTACTTCATATCTACCCTGTATAATATCCGTGTTAAACTGGATGTGTTGCATCTACTTCATATCTACCCTGTATACTATCCGTGTTGAACTGGATGTGTTGAATCTACTTCATATCTACCCTGTATACTATCCGTGTTGAACTGGATGTGTTGCATCTACTTCATATCTACCCTGTATACTATCCGTGTTGAACTGGATGTGTTGCATCTACTTCATATCTACCCTGTATACTATCCTTGTTGAACTGAATGTGTTGCATCTACTTCATATCTACCCTGTATACTATCCGTGTTGAACTGGATGTGTTGCATCTACTTCATATCTACCCTGTATACTATCCGTGTTGAACTGGATGTGTTGCATCTACTTCATATCTACCCTGTATACTATCCTTGTTGAACTGAATGTGTTGCATCTACTTCATATCTACCCTGTATACTATCCGTGTTGAACTGGATGTGTTGCATCTACTTCATATCTACCCTGTATACTATCCGTGTTGAACTGGGTGTGTTGCATCTACTTCATATCTACCCTGTATACTATCCGTGTTGAACTGGATGTGTTGCATCTACTTCATATCTACCCTGTATACTATCCGTGTTGAACTGGATGTGTTGAATCTACTTCATATCTACCCTGTATACTATCCGTGTTGAACTGGATGTGTTGCATCTACTTCATGTCTACCCTGTATACTATCCGTGTTGAACTGGATGTAATGTACCGGCTTCATATCTACCCTGTATACTATCCGTGTTGAACTGGATGTGTTGCATCTACTTCGTATCTACCCTGTATACTATCCGTGTTGAACTGGATGTGTTGCATCTACTTCATATCTACCCTGTTTACTATCCGTGTTGAACTGGATGTGTTGAATCTACTTCATGTCTACCCTGTATACTATCCGTGTTGAACTGGATGTGTTGCATCTACTTCATATCTACCCTGTATACTATCCGTGTTGAACTGGATGTGTTGAATCTACTTCATGTCTACCCTGTATACTATCCGTGTTGAACTGGATGTGTTGCATCTTCTTCATATCTACCCTGTATACTATCCGTGTTGAACTGGATGTGTTGCATCTACTTCATATCTACCCTGTATACTATCCGTGTTGAACTGGATGTGTTGCATCTACTTCATATCTACCCTGTATACTATCCGTGTTGAACTGGATGTGTTGCATCTACTTCATATCTACCCTGTATACTATCCGTGTTGAACTGGATGTGTTGCATCTACTTCATATCTACCCTGTATACTATCCGTGTTGAACTGGATGTGTTGCATCTACTTCATATCTACCCTGTATACTATCCGTGTTGAACTGGATGTGTTGCATCTACTTCATATCTACCCTGTATACTATCCGTGTTGAACTGGATGTGTTGCATCTACTTCATATCTACCCTGTATACTATCCGTGTTGAACTGGATGTGTTGCATCTACTTCATATCTACCCTGTATACTATCCGTGTTGAACTGGATGTGTTGCGTCTACTTCATATCTACCCTGTATACTATCCGTGTTGAACTGGATGTGTTGCATCTACTTCATATCTACCCTGTATACTATCCGTGTTGAACTGGATGTGTTGCATCTACTTCATATCTACCCTGTATACTATCCGTGTTGAACTGGATGTGTTGAATCTACTTCATATCTACCCTGTATAATATCCGTGTTAAACTGGATGTGTTGCATCTACTTCATATCTACCCTGTATACTATCCGTGTTGAACTGGATGTGTTGAATCTACTTCATATCTACCCTGTATACTATCCGTGTTGAACTGGATGTGTTGCATCTACTTCATATCTACCCTGTATACTATCCGTGTTGAACTGGATGTGTTGCATCTACTTCATATCTACCCTGTATACTATCCGTGTTGATCTGGATGTGTTGCATCTACTTCATATCTACCCTGTATAATATCCGTGTTAAACTGGATGTGTTGCATCTACTTCATATCTACCCTGTATACTATCCGTGTTGAACTGGATGTGTTGAATCTACTTCATATCTACCCTGTATACTATCCGTGTTGAACTGGATGTGTTGCATCTACTTCATATCTACCCTGTATACTATCCGTGTTGAACTGGATGTGTTGCATCTACTTCATATCTACCCTGTATACTATCCTTGTTGAACTGAATGTGTTGCATCTACTTCATATCTACCCTGTATACTATCCGTGTTGAACTGGATGTGTTGCATCTACTTCATATCTACCCTGTATACTATCCGTGTTGAACTGGATGTGTTGCATCTACTTCATATCTACCCTGTATACTATCCTTGTTGAACTGAATGTGTTGCATCTACTTCATATCTACCCTGTATACTATCCGTGTTGAACTGGATGTGTTGCATCTACTTCATATCTACCCTGTATACTATCCGTGTTGAACTGGGTGTGTTGCATCTACTTCATATCTACCCTGTATACTATCCGTGTTGAACTGGATGTGTTGCATCTACTTCATATCTACCCTGTATACTATCCGTGTTGAACTGGATGTGTTGAATCTACTTCATATCTACCCTGTATACTATCCGTGTTGAACTGGATGTGTTGCATCGACTTCATGTCTACCCTGTATACTATCCGTGTTGAACTGGATGTAATGTACCGGCTTCATATCTACCCTGTATACTATCCGTGTTGAACTGGATGTGTTGCATCTACTTCGTATCTACCCTGTATACTATCCGTGTTGAACTGGATGTGTTGCATCTACTTCATATCTACCCTGTTTACTATCCGTGTTGAACTGGATGTGTTGAATCTACTTCATGTCTACCCTGTATACTATCCGTGTTGAACTGGATGTGTTGCATCTACTTCATATCTACCCTGTATACTATCCGTGTTGAACTGGATGTGTTGAATCTACTTCATGTCTACCCTGTATACTATCCGTGTTGAACTGGATGTGTTGCATCTTCTTCATATCTACCCTGTATACTATCCGTGTTGAACTGGATGTGTTGCATCTACTTCATATCTACCCTGTATACTATCCGTGTTGAACTGGATGTGTTGCATCTACTTCATATCTACCCTGTATACTATCCGTGTTGAACTGGATGTGTTGCATCTACTTCATATCTACCCTGTATACTATCCGTGTTGAACTGGATGTGTTGCATCTACTTCATATCTACCCTGTATACTATCCGTGTTGAACTGGATGTGTTGCATCTACTTCATATCTACCCTGTATACTATCCGTGTTGAACTGGATGTGTTGCATCTACTTCATATCTACCCTGTATACTATCCGTGTTGAACTGGATGTGTTGCATCTACTTCATATCTACCCTGTATACTATCCGTGTTGAACTGGATGTGTTGCATCTACTTCATATCTACCCTGTATACTATCCGTGTTGAACTGGATGTGTTGCGTCTACTTCATATCTACCCTGTATACTATCCGTGTTGAACTGGATGTGTTGCATCTACTTCATATCTACCCTGTATACTATCCGTGTTGAACTGGATGTGTTGCATCTACTTCATGTCTACCCTGTATACTATCCGTGTTGAACTGGATGTAATGTACCGGCTTCATATCTACCCTGTGTCAGTGGGGGCTGGGCAAAGGTCAAATAGCTTGTCAACTCGTGGGGAACTGGGTCAGTATCGGTCATCAGTTCTCTATAACATAGCCGTAAGAGACGACCTGGTTGTATCGGATAGTCAGGCTTAGAGACTTGGATGATAGCCAATTATTGAGTCCCCTTTGACAGACAAGTGTATTATTACAAGTAGACTCCATCGTAAATCGGGTGACGTGAAACAAGTAGATTCCGTGACGTGAAACAAGTAGATTCAATCGTAAATCATTAAGTTGTCTTTCGGGTGACATGGGTGTTTTATTCTTGTTCTGTCCAAGCAGTGTGTCCAAGCAGTCTCAGTTAAGATATCATACAGCTAAAGGTCACCGAGAGAAAATGTTGCTGATTTAATGATTCATCAACTATTTCAAAGAATGCAATATTTTAAATGTTTTAAATCTGCATGCTATGCATTAATGACATACCGCGCTTTACAAACATATAGGTACAGAACAAGGAAATTTCACGACTTACCTGCGAAAATGAACGTGTAATCATAGACCCCAGAAGCTTCGTAAATGAAACCTGAAAAAATGCCTGTACTGATTACCTGGTATGTGTGCATAAATTATAAAGCGACATCTCTGGTATGGATTACATAGCTCCCTTTAAGAATATGTCCTTATGTTAGGAAAAGAGCTTATAATCATAACCCATGAATACCCCACTCAGACACAGTATACTGACTCCGAGCCGACCAGTCCTTGTTTTACCCCCTTAATGCCGAGCGCCAGACAGGGTAACAACAAGTACCATATTTTAACGTCTTTTGGTATGACGCGGCCGGGGATCGAACCCCGGACCTTCCGCTCTCCTGGCGGACGCTCTACCACTAGACCACGGAGGCGGTCGGAAAGATGGTTGAAGGTTAACCGAGGATATGTGAATCAGATACGCTATGTTTGTCACACATTAGGAATAAGGACATACAAATAGCATAAGTTGAACTCGCAATTTTTTAACGATGGGCATCGATACGTAGTTTAAAGTTTGCCCCAAAACATTCATGGTTCACGTGCATGTTCAATGACATACGTCCATCCAACATTTCAATGTACGTCTCACCACGTGTCAACATCCTACATACTAATACAGAACTTACTTGCGATTACAGGACCGAGCAGGTATCCAATTCCACATGAGAAATAGACCACTCCAAATCCAACAGCAACGGTCGCCAAACCCGTCAGCTCTATAGCGAAGGGACCCATTAGGGAATTCGTACCATGACTGTAAACTCCGTAAAAGAAACTAAAAACAATTTGCCAGTGGTATGTATTCGACATCAGCGGAAACAGAGCTGTGATCAGTCCAGTAATGCCAACGAAACCCACTTGGAGCATGGGAAATTCTATGCTGGAGTCGGAGGCCAAAAGTCCTATAGTGAACCTCGCAAACACGCCCCCAGCACCCAACGCACTTAACAGATTTGAGGCTGCTGTTGGAGAACTCCCCATCACCTCTGCATAATTTGGTAAGTGGAATATACACGCAGCGTCACCTAACGACCAGAAAATGATGGTTGTGTTATAGAGAAGGAAAGATTTGTTGCAAGTCGTCTTCAGCATACTACATGATGTCGTGTAAACACAACACTGTTTTGAGGCTTGCTTTTCAACTGGTGTGCTTGAAGAGTCTGCTTTTTGGAGAAAAGGAGTTTGCGTTAGATCATCATAAGAATTTTCCAAGTGTTCAGATGACATCATGTTGGTACCGTCCTCAGTGCAAAGTGGATGTAGATTTCTTGGACGGATTGCACCTTCCTCCATTGCATGCGTATTCTTGACTGATTCGTTTTCGTGATGTTCCTCAATTACAATAGTTCTGATGGAGAGAGGTGGTTTACGTAGGAGGGATGCTGCAATACACGTGTTGAATGCAATAGCACCGATGATGAGTAGTGTTCCATGCAGTTTATATTCATCCAGCAGAAACCTTGCAAGTGGGCCAGCTACAAACAGACCCATCCCTCCTCCTACCATACACAATCCGTAGGCAGCTGGCCTCTTCTTCTCGAAATATTGTCCAGGAATGACGCCAACAACATTTGCACCAAGGCACAACCCAAACCCTATTGAATAGAAAACACACACAGACAGAACATGACAGTAACTCGATGCTACTGCGAGAAAGAGGCTACGTGAGGTGAAACTGGGTTAAACGTCACGTCCAAGAGTTATGCAGTAATATAGCGACGTACATCCACGTGATTGATTGATTGATTGATTGATTGCACGATTGACTGATTGATTGTACTAGCCGATTTTATGGTGCCAGCCCACTGAGATACCATGTCATAGTTTAACAAGAATACCCCTCTCAGACCCAGTGTACTGACTCCGAGCCGACCAGTCCTTGTTTTAGTCCCTTAATGCCGAGCGTCAGGCAGGTTAACAACAAGTACCATTTTTTAACGTCTTTTGGTATGACGCAACCGGGGATCGAACCCTGGACCTTCCATTCTCCGGGTGGAGGCTCTACCCAAGACCATGGAGGTGTGAAAGACATACTGTGACTATGAAAAGTGAGCATTTTAGTCGTGATTTTTTTTGCACTAATATCACGGCGTATAAGCCTTATGTACTTTGTGACCATCTTCGTGGTGTAGTGGATAGAACATCTCAATCAAAGCCCAATTATAAAATGCAGCCTGACAAACCTGGCTTGATACTCCTCTGACAAACCTTCGTGACATAAAACCTTATTCGAACTGAGAACTTATTTGATAATGTTTCGTACCTGCCATGAATCCATATGTGATAACTAGTCCAACTATTGTTTGACAGAACGATGCCAAAGTCATTCCCACTAGTGTTAGTGTACCGCCGGACAATGCCGTCAGTTTAGAACCAAATCGATGTTGAACCATGCCAGCTATTGGCCCTGAAGGGAAGCAAGATATCACAAGTATAAATAACTGAAATCTATCTATCTGTCTTTGTGTATAGTGGCACATGTTAAGATAATATGTTTAACTGGGGTGAGTGAGTGTGTCAAATGTGTGTAATGCCGCATTTAATATAATTACATTTATATCACCGATATTCAGCTTCTTGAAACTGAAATACTGTTTAAAGGGGCTTCAAACTAAATGTAAACTCAGACGCCTGGGGATTACCAGTTTTGGTTATCCGACGAAACAGATCCCATTGAGGCCAAAAAATAAATAGCGGTAAGTGTTGTATAAATGAATCTCTAAAAATCAGTGATGCCACCCGCTGTATACAAAAAAGGTTCAGCATATCCTACCCTACCGGTAGCATCCGCCACTCACACCATTTGCATTAAAGCATTAAGAAAAAACTCACCCACTATACAGCAGAGAATAATTCAAACATTATGTTAATAAAAGAGTGAGTGGGTATGGTTTTACGCCGCTTTTAGCAATATTCCAGCAATATCACGGCGGGGGACACCACAAATGGGGAATCGAAACCGGGTCTTCGGCATGACGAGCGAACGCTTGTTAATTAAAGAAAATACAAACATACGAAGCTGGTAAACTTAACGAAAACAAGCTATTACACCCACCGAGTATTGTATAAGAGCCAATTAGAGTTGAACCAATCCATGATGATTTTGTGATGTCGTTCTCCACCTCTTGCATAATTGCGATGTTTATTACTCCTGATGAAAAAGCAACCAACCCTGCCAGAAGCTGAATGGAGACTGCCGATGCCAAGGCCACCCAGGCGTACCCTTGGTCAATGTCCTTCCTGGATGCCATCATCAACTAAAGAAGATACAATGCTTTCTTAAAAGTTTATTTAAAGTATTTATATGATATTAGACACAGACACCATTCCTAATCTGAAGCATCAGTGACAAAAATGATCTCCGATGCATTTCCCTATTTTGACTTGTATTTTATGTTCTCTCGTGTTTGGTTTCGATTGCTATTGACTTGCCTTTGCATGTGTTTATGATGGGTGCCACCAGTTGGACAGGATACGTTCACCTTTTCGCGAATATCGCATATCATCACTATCTGAGAAATTCAATGATTAATATGCATATTCGTATGACATATTGGGAATAGTACAATGAACTCTTCCTTGTCGGGGCGGGCGGGTAGCCTAGTGGTTAAAGCGGTCGCTCGTCACGCAGAAGACACGGGTTCGATTCCCGACATGGGTACAATGTGTGAAGCCCATTTCTGGTGTTCCCCGCCGTGATATTGCTGGAATATTGCTAAAAGCGGCGTAAAACCATACTCACTCACTCAGTCACATTCTTGTCATCAAGCTTTATTCATCCAGAAGCTTTTATAAACGTTTATGAGTGGACATTAAATGTGGTGGTATACACGATGGATAAATGATGACAATGAGCACATCGACAATATTATTCGGATTCATTGCATACCAAGCCAGAGATAAAACGTTGTGCCATGTATTGAACTGATACACTCTCTCTTTGTCATTAGTGCATTTATCAATTATTACATTATGATAGGGAATATTATGTGAAACAACTTATCATACATACACAGCGAATCCGGGATACTTATTATTGTTCTTCGTCAGGTGAATGATGAAATATTAGATTGATATGCATAATCAAGTCTATCAGACTAAACAACGGATTCTGAAGGACTTGCTTGGACTTGCAGGCCCCAACCAAATTCCGCTTTAATGATACCGAGTCACACTTGTGGTTTGTAGTTACTAAAGGGACACATCAACAGAGCTAGACTAACCCAATGTCAGTTAGCAGCAACGCAATACAGTAAGTAATCCCGCAACGAAATAATCAATTCAAATCAATTACTCGAGTTTCATGCACAGAACTTAGCTACAAAGTCACATTTGTTGATCCTATGATCGTACGTGCGTCTTTCAAAACGAATACTACCGCCTAAACTTGTAATTTTGGTTTGCGATTTAAACTGATGCTATTTGTGTATCCTTATTCTTAACGTGTGACAAACATAGCCGTATCTGATTCACATATCCTCGGTTAACCTTCAACTATCTATCCGACCGCCTCCGTGGCCTAGTGGTAGAGCGTCCGCCCGGAGTGCGGAAGGTCCGGGGTTCGATCCCCGGCCGCGTCATACCAAAAGACGTTAAAAGATGCTACTTGTTGTTACCCTGCCTGACGCTCGGCATTAAGGGGCTAAAACAAGGACTGGGAGTCAGTATACTGTGTCTGAGTTGGGTATTCATGTTAAACTGCGGCATGGTATCTCAGTGAGCTAGCACTATATATCGGCATCAGTCCGGACTAGTACAAACAGCCACACAAACACACACACATGCATGCACGCCGCTATATAAGTGCAATAATCTTGGACGCGACGTTAAACCCCATTTCACCTCACCTCACCTCACCTCACCTCACCTCACCTCAAAACGAATATGAGAAACAGGGCCGGAGGCGGAATGCAGTTGTGCAGATTCACAATCGCTACATAGAGCGAATGTATCCATCATGACAGCTTAGTTTTAAGTAGTGTCATACATATTATCATACTTGCACTTGCTTATAGTTGTAAGTGGCGACGCACTATCGTAACCCACGTGGCCCAGAATAGCAAATGCCTCGCAGCTGATTACAGTTCGTCGGCCATCATTGTTGCTAAAAATAGCTGTTCACACGTGGTCGACACATGGACCCAGTTTCACGCGAACAGGGACCTTGAGTCTCAGCAGAGACCATATAATAGATATAATATATTATATGGTCTCTGGGCTCAGGTAACAGAACGTAACCTAGCCACATCACAGATTTTTGAAGCGGTTTAAAGGATCAGTTAACCGAGTAAATAAAGGCTCCTTAAAACCAGAACTTTTAGTCTGATACGACAGCGCGTCTTCTGCCAGCATGTCTTCTGGCCCTTCTCTCACTTATATTGATAGAACATGCATGTACCAACCCGGGGATTTATCCTATGATACGGCAAAGTATTTGTGTAAATATTTATTTTCCTATTCAATCCCAATCTTTTGTATCCTATAAGATACTTCCACACCGCGCCAAGTAGCATGTGTTTACTGGGCCACTGCTGATATCGACCTAAAAGCATTGCCCCATTGCCGTACTCTAAGTCGGTTCATTATTACAGAGGTTAGGTCACTCCTATGAGTCATCATCACTGGCTGAGGTCAAGACTTAGCTATTACGGGTATTATATATCATACATGTACTTCCATAAACGTTTTCGAAACAGGATATATTTGAATCATTCTTCTGTTGCATGAAAACGGTTTCACAACAGAACATGTTGCATAGATTTTGTTTTGAAGGAAATCACATCTGTGTTAAAAACGAGTGAGGAGAATTAGCTCGCTTGGCAGAGGTACCAACTCACACAACAACACAAGACCGGAGTGAATAAACAGTCAGTTTATTGGACAGCCACAAAATCTCTCTATATATACTAGTATATATATGTAATCAGTCAACAATAGAAATGTTTACAATCAATTATTACAGTTAATTATTAGAGCATGTTGACAATCAGTTGTAGAAGTACATATATGTGAAGAACATTAGATGAGTGAGTGCGTGAGTTTGGTTTAACGCAGCTTTTAACAGTATTCAAGTTATATCGCGGCTTGTCAGCTTAATGTGGGAGGAAAGCCTGAAGTGATGCAGGTCTCAGACGTTTACAACTTTGGTGAAACCCACGAGCACGGGTATGGTGCTGACAAACCTAAAAACATAATCTGGGCGAACCGGGATTCGAACCAACAATCATAGGTTTCTGGCGTGCCCAAGGGACGCAACTCTACACAGCGAATCGCGGCGCCTTAGACGACTGGGCCTACCGTGCCCCCAACATTAGATGAACATGATATACAATCATTACACAAGATACATACTACATTAGTTGCGATACATTTTCCAAGGTGCACGACGTAATACAACAACTTTACAATGGATGTAGTTAAGACTTAACATTGTACAAGATAGTAACGTTTCTTACCTGAGTGAATAAACAGTCAGTTTTTTAGACAGCCACAGAATGATTTGTGACTGTCTGTCGTCCGTATTTATACCTATTCTATCTACAACAGATAATATCATTGTCTGATTAAACTGACGATAAAGTTGTTATTGCGAACTTTAGTGGCGCAATCTAGACAGAATTATATGATCTAGTTTGACCGAGACATTGATGATAAAGTGTTTATGAGTGAAGTTTAGTAAGAATACTAGTTTACCAGTTGCTAGTATGAACCGAGTGTATACGTGGAACAGGTGATTTGATAATGATGGATGATAAATATATTAACGTTTTATATTTATTTGCGTAACTCTACCAGACCAACACCATGAGAGATGCGGGTCCTGTCCGATAGGCGTTATCGGGTTGACCCTTGGCAGTCTAAAGGCAATGAAACGAGGTCGTTAGTTGTAATATTCCCTTATTTCACAATTTCCAATTCTTAATAATTATGATAAAATTGAACGTGATAAAATATTTGTCAGACTTTGTTGATTTTCCCCCTGTTAATATCTGCAAAACACCAAACATGATGGACAACCTTAATTATTCTATAACTGGCACTGTATTAGCCTATGCCATTTCCAGTGTTGAACATCCCCGACACATTTCTTGTTTGCTGAATTATCAACACTTAATCTGCATTTCAAAGGTTTTACTGTCCTTAAGGAATGGTCATTATGAGTAATGACCTGGGCCCACTTGCACAAAGCGATCTTAGCGCGGAGACTATCGTAAGCCTATGTTTAAGCATGGGAGTTACGATCATCTTAGCGCTAAGATCGCTTTGTGTAAGTGGGCCCAGTACACAAAATCATATATTTATAACTCAGTTCATGTACGGAATTCCTAGTACTTTGTTCAAAACTATACCAGGGCCCACTTGCACAAAGCAATCTTAGCGCTAAGATGATCGTAACTCCCATGCTTTGACATAGGCTTACAATAGTCGTAGCGCAAAGATCGCTTTGTGCAAATGGGCCCTGGTGAAACTAAACACTCTTTGTTTGCTTTCCGTTTCCTAGGGCGCCATGTGATCATTATACGGCTGTTGACTGGGTCTCACCTTCCATGGTCAGGCTATCTTTTAACTTGTAGCTTTTATCGTACGTGGAGGTTATCAATATTTGAGTATTAGAGGCTAAAACGTAAGGAAACAGATTCTGAAATATCAATACATCATGCTTTAATATCAATGCAAGAATTGAGCGTTATCAATGTTTGCACTTTGAAATACTCATCAATACATGTATAAATTGAACGAGGTATAAAGTGATAAATAATGCATGACATACCAACAAGTTACCAACGACGGGTGCCCAGTCATCTAAGGCACCGCAATTCGCTGTGCAGAGTTGCGTCCCTTGGGCACGCCAGGAACCTATGATTGTGGGTTCGAATCCCGGTTCGCCCCGACTGTTTCTAGGTTTGTCAGCACCATACCCGTGCTCGTGGGTTTCACCAAAGTGGTAAACGTCTGAGACCTGCATCACTTCGGGCTTTCCTCCCACATAAAAGCTGACACGTCTCGATATAACTGGAATACAGTTAAAAGCGGCGTTAAACCAAACTCACTCACTCACACTCACACTCACACTCACCTACACCAGGGATATGGGTGAATAAATACCCATGGACATTCAAGATAACAGGCCATCCCTGATACCTGGACTATGGGCAGTTAGAGGTTAATTACTTTGTTTGGGGCACATGTGACCAACTCGTCTAAGGCGCTGCGAATCGCTGTGCAGAGTTGCGTCCCTAGGACACGCCTTCGAATCCCGGTTCGCCACTAGGACACGCCTTCGAATCCCGGTTCGCCACGACTTTCTTTCACGGTTAGTCAGCACCATACCCGTGCTCGTGGGTTTCAGCGAAGTGGTAAACGTCTGAGACCTGCATCATTTCGGTCGTTTTACTCTCACATTAAGCTGACACGCCGAGATAAAACTGGAATACTGTTAAAAGCGGCGTTAAACCCAACTCACACACTCACTAATTGCCTTGTTTAACTAGCAGCGGCAAATTCACAGTGTTCACATAACAGGATCAAGCAGCTTCTACACTGGTTACATGTTGTATGGGAAAGACGTTTGCTCAGGAGAATATAACTACACTGTCTATTGACCATGGTCAAGTAGTTTCTACAATACTGGAAATAATATTGCACTGAATGTCAGCTCAGAAAAGTATAGTATCTCCTCTGTAAGGTTCGGACTGACCTTTGTTAGTCAGGTTATAACTCGACCCTCAAAGGGAAGTGCGAGCCAAGGGTAGAAACCGACAGATGTGTGAGTATAAATTGTTTTATATCATCTTGATATATGAGGGCAGCCAAATTGATCCACAGCCCCATTCGTCAAAGTGATCTTTGATTTTCGCAAGACTCATAAAGTATGGGACTTACAATCGTCTTGGAGCGAAAATTTATTTTTAGAATGGACCGTGGACTAGACGATCACAAGTGACAAACCTAAAAGTATAATCAAGTGGAATATGAGATTCGAACCCAGTATCATAGTGTTCTTAATCACGTGGCGAATTTCTGCACTGCTACTCACAGCATCTTAACCGACTGGACCAGTCTTGTCTTTCCCCATTTGACTGTGCCTTAATGCCTAAGAGATAGCAACAATTTGTTATAACACTTTACCATATAAACACGATCACGTAGTTATAATCACAGTTATGCATCATCACAAGGAGCTACTGCTACGCATTTTTATGCGCGGGCATATACACAGCTGGTCGTCCCGACCCCAATTAGTCCTTTGTAACGAAATCCGATTGGTGATGCTTGGCCATCTTGCAACTTCAGAGCACGTCTCTTCCCGAGGGGTGGGGTTTTTTTTTTTTGGGGGGGGGGGGGGGGGGGGGGGCACTGCTGATTTGGTTTGGGACCGTATTGCCCTACACCCAGTTTCCAATTATTGGGAGTTGCCTCTCTTGGCACTTTAGTTTTGACATTCTTGCTCAGAAGGTTTGCATTGAGGTCACCCACGAATGAGGTGCAAATCTTTCGCGCCGCCTGTACGGTAACTATTGTGTCGGTCAGTCTCACTACTTATCCCTCTTCGTTTGGGTCGGGCGAGGACATTGTTAGCTTTGTCTGTGTCATATTCCGAGCCCGTGTGGTTGTTCGCCCAGACTGTGATTGCTCGTGACTCGTTTATGGCAATACCATACATCAAACATTACTTATAGGTCACCGTTGTGGCTCACTGTGTTTTGGGTGTCTGTATACACCGCCTTCGGTGATAGAAATTACCGGTATGTGTCGCGCTCATGGTCAAATGGGCGCGAAGTGCTTTCTGTGAAGAGCGGCCATCTTCTGTATTACACATGTATAGCGTGACTTCAAATATCTATGCGAGACATTTTGGAATGAGAATAAACCATGTGTGCTGAAATTCCTCTGGTCAGTTCCAAAACATACTGCGAAACAAATTACACAGCTACTGAGAGGAATCACAGATCGTTTAATACATCCCAGTAACTAAGGACTTTCATTACATTTCTCTTGACTAATATGCACTCGGAAAATGACTATTTTCCAGATTTCGAGGGGGCCGCCATTTTCTATGTGTACAATGAAGAGCATCGGGACAGTGCGTGATTCAGTTTCCCTTAGAAGATATTATCAGCAAAAAAAGTTTAACAGATCACTCATATATTATGATTGTCGTCCTTTACAAAATCAAGAAAAGTAACATAACTTACCGTGGATGAAATAGATGAATGAAATCAAGTCCGTAGCACTTGCACGTGAGCCTTCAAATCTCGCAGATCTCGCACAGTCACGCGATAATCATTATCATCATCTTTATTCCTCCTAGGAGAGTTACATGCAATTCATTACGGTTATACAGATACTAATTAGCCCTGGGGCCTGTCCTTCGGTATATGGTCTCTGCTCTTGTGTATTATTTTGGGGAATTTAAAGTGGGCGTGAAACAGAACCACTGCCACGCAATTGTCTGATCACATTACTGGAAACGTACATGCAAGCTCTGATATGTTCCAGTCATAGCACATGGTATCGCATACCGTTGGCGTCGTCGGCAGGATATTGTGTAATTGGCCATCTGTTAGGTAAATTAGTCATTAGTATGTATTTTTTGGCATTAGATTCATACACTAGATTTACAATTAGAGTGACACCATACAGGTTAAGTTAGAATTATTTGTTTCTTGTGTGTGACCTCCATTGTTATTGCAGCCATATACCATTAACGTGTAATCGACCTGAGGATTGTGTGAGCATATGCGGGAAATACCCGCCTTAAATAGGGGTAAATATTTTTAAACCTTGTACATTTTATCAACATCCTTGAAGAGGCTGTAAGTAATGTTGATATCTCATAAAATCATTAAACGACTCGTGGTTGTTGTTTATTGTACAATAAAACACTCGCCCCTCATGGTTTATTCTCCCTGCAGTGTTTTATTGTACTCCCACTCGTCGTTTATTTCTTTAACAGTGGCCCGCTCATTTATGATAACATGCGGGCGGTTTAATGATAATTCTATCCATTTTAACTATAAAATAATGTAAAGCGGGATATTTTGTAGTCAGGTTGGAGCGGATGAAAATATGATAATTAATTTTGTATTTCAAATTGGTCTATGAGAATTTTGCCTTTCGTGAATATGCTAGCCGTGTATAAAATTGCCTCATGGAGAAACTCACTGGCTTGTGATTATTTCTGTAACTGTAGTACTGCTGGTGCGGCTTTAAGCAATATTACTCACTCACTGACGGAAATAGTTTTGTTTCCAGCTTTCGGACACATTAATGTTTTCACTATCATTGGACATTCATGTACACAATTTCTTTTGTTAAAGTATATTGAGCATGTTGAGGGTTTTATTATAAAGTACATAGGAAACTGTAACAACGGGAGATGACTCAGACTTTGTGTATGTAAATTACATAGCATTTTCAAGCTCAAGTCATAATTTTGCTAAATGCTACTTGGAGAATGAAGAGAATGAAAGAAGCATGACCAAAGGACTACTAACGTGCGCATGGGCCTTGACCTTGTGATATTACGCATGCGCACGGACAGCGTCTAAAACGCGAGAACACGAGAACGCGAGATCGCGAGATCGCGAGAAAATGAAATGTCGCATTCTCGCGTTCTCGCGATTTCGTGTTTTTGTGGCCTAATTTGACAAGTCGAGATGGCGAGATAGCGAGATTTTGCATCATGTCCAAATGTCGCATTCTCGCGTTGTCGACTTTTGACAAAAAGTGCTATGTACCAAAAACACGAGAATGCGAGATCGCGAGATTTTGGCCAAATCTCGCGTTCTCGCGATCTCGCATTCTCGTGTTTTGGGTATATTTACCTCGTTTCCAAAGGTCGAGATCGCGAGAATGCGAGATCGCGAGAATGTCCCTTAAAGTATTCCATACTAACAGTATTCCATAAACTATAGTTGTTGACATCACCTCTGTTAACAGTACCTCTTTTGAGCTACATGTACGTAGAGACCCATGACCTTTTGTACTTCTCCAAGACGAGAAGTATTGAGTGTTGTCGGGCGCTTGTAGCAATGCCACAGGATAGCGGATAGCGTCATGAATAGGCATCAACCGTTGTAACATTTTGAGAAACGAACCATGATCTTGGTTTATATACAAACGTTTCAGTTTCTACCATTTCGTCTTGTTAAAAGTGAATTGGGAGGTTGACATACCCGCATTTCCCATTACGAAGCGACGGCGTATTCGACTGCATTAGATATACGACGAATAAGTCCAAGCTTGTTTTTGGTCGTCTGCTATTTTTCAATGAATGTGAAGAGTAAAGTGGATAACTGTGTTCTTACCTGCTCGGACCACAGAATGCATAAGACAAGCATGGAATACACCGTGAGCAGTAAGATAAATGCGTTCTTCACCGGTCCCTCGGGTGACATGGGTTGGTGTATAACTTCATGCTCGGGTGCATAAACTAACATAAAGGGTTCCCCTCGCACGGTACATGCGCACACAGTCATACTTTTACCTTCAGTCAGAGCAGTAAACACAGGAAGTCAACGCTTGATCTCCCACGCATGTCTGGTGTGAACCAGGAGCACAACATGACTCACAGATGGATAAAAATAACACATGTTTTTTCTCACCCTATTGCCACTCTGAGCTCCTAATAGCAGCTTTGTTATGTCAGCACTTTCCTGGATCTGCACCTGCACACGTATATACACCTAACATACTTATCCAACCACGGAAAATGGCTATGCATCTGTTGTGTTAGCGTCATGAATATTTCGTGAATGCAGGCATGCAGGTCTTGAATGTACTTATTAAATACACGATGGAATAGTGGAAACAACGCCAACATCTATATGATGCTTGACAAACAAAGACAAGAGAGTTTTGCAAATGTAGCGTTTGTAATAATGAAAAAGGTAGAGTAAAATACGTTTTGTTAAAATGTACTGGCGAATATAGACCCATGAGGACAGTACTGGCGAATATAGACCCATGAGGACAACACCATTAGGGCATATTGTCAGCCACTGTAAATACAGTGTGGTTCAGAATAAAGTCAATCTACATGGATGGGATAGTCACAGTGAGTCTTGTATACTTTGTCATGCTAAAGGAAGAAATTGTGTCTTTTCACGCTCAGAGCCAACACTAGATTCTCAGTATTGGCTCTACTGTATGTGAAGATCCGGGGTAGAATAGGTCTTCAACAACCCATGCTTGGCATAAAAGGCGACTATGCTTGTCGTAAGAGGCAATTAACGGGATAGAGTGCGGCGATTAACAACAATCAAACAAACAAACTTACCTTCAATCTTGACTGTGACATAAACACCCCCAATATCGCGTGTATAGCCCATCGGCTTCATTCGCGCACACGACGTATCATTCGTGACCCAACTCGTGTTATTCCGGAACAAGCCGAATAGCGACTCGTGCCCTTCTCATGGCGACCGGGTTCTGTCTTAGCGCAGACGGGCATACCTAAAACAATTGTCAACTCGTTGCGTAATGGTTCACATTTATTTCCCCATATATTATATATATATTTCAGATGCAATTTAAAGCACATCGAGACATGTGGAATTATACTGTATGATTGAACACATTTAACTGTGTCTTGGGTATATTTTTAGATGCAAGACATATGTAAATTTTGAATAACAAAATATTTCTGAGGTATTCTTTGACGAAGAACTTGAAATCACACGCGCATTCTGATTGGTTTGTCGTATTTTCGCACATACCATTCATCGATAGGGGGACGAGTCTTCTTGCAGGCTACGGAAAGGGGCGAGTGGTGACGAATGACGACGTATTGCGGAGTTCGTCATCCGGTACTCGGCCACATTCCTCCCCGAGTGCCTGTATTAAGTCATATCTATTTGCATGAGGGTTACGTCGTGATCAAGGTGGTCCCACGTGTGCGTCACGAGAGGAGAGCGAGCTCGCCAAGGAAAAACGTTGACGTTATTGGCCTGCACAAACTGACCAAAGGTACGTGGTCTTGGATTGTCATTTTGGAACACGAACCGCGTGTTGGACTGAACGTACTATTGGCCCGTACACTGCCATCGCGCCGTCGTCTGGATACAGAGAAGTGGCTGGCAGCATGTCCTGAGGCAATTCATAGTGATGACCCACAGTCAAGAACCGGTTCCTCAAATAAGGAATACATCCTCGTTGGATGTATGGCACGTGGTCTGCCTGTCGTGAGCCCGCCACTGTCTGTCATGTCTGCACGTATTATGGCACCAACCTGGTGATTATTGCAACCTCAGCGTCATGCGAGAAAACTTTAATGCAACTATGTACACCTCGGGTCACAACTTTCAGCCCGAGTCCAAACAACAGTCAGCAAGTGCCTTATCACTGCGTGTTCCTCAAGTTGTTTCCATTTTCCAAAGGTCATTGAACGCTGCTGTTATAATGATTTGTCACAACGACATAATTTGCTCAACTGACTCAAGTTTTTGTGGACGTCTTCAGCAACCCATGCTTGCCGTAAAAGGCGACTTTGTTTGTCGTAAGAGGCGACTAACGGGATCGGGTGGTCAGGCTCACTGACGTGGTTGATGCATGTCATCGATCCCAAATGCGTGGATAGATGCTCATGATATTAATCACTGGATTGTCTGGCCCAGACACGATTATTTACAGACCGCCGTCATATAGCTGGAATATTGCTGAGTGCGGCGTTAAACAACAAACCTCTATGACATCATTGAATGGCCACAAGAAGAGATTTCACTATTATGCAATTACTGTTATGTGAACTTTAGAACTTACCAATTGCGCTCGAGTATTCTACGATTGGTATTGCATGATTTGAAAACATCATTTCGTGTTGGAATTCAAAGTAAAATAAATTGGATTTGATATAGTTTCTTTCGCTTGACAGTATACTTCCGTATTCAGTATACCATGACGCGAATATTATACCGTAGTAGACATTCTGTAACCTCTTGCTTGGACATCAATTAATCGGCATGATATTCTCGTTTGCATAATTATGCTTTTGGTAATCCTACCTCAATCATGCATACGACCGCATTTAATTTCCAACGTCTATAAAAGCTGCTGGATGCAAACCACAAACTCTCTCCACGATCATACGATCGCTCTGCTAAAGGTCCATTATTCGATTCCGACTTTATGATAAGCAATAAATTATTGTACTTGGTTTCTTTTTCTTGTCATGTAATAGTCTATTTTATCTTAACTTCTATTACTGTATCATTCCGAATAGCCGGAACATAGTCATCGTGGGATATGAGTTTGTTTTCAATTGTTAATTCCAAGGATGTCAGGTAATACGAGAGAAAGGTTAAAACGTGTTCTAGGTTCTACGCGTTTACCACGAGCACGGGTATGATGCTGACGAACAAACATTCATAATGAAGGCGAATCATGGACTTAAAACTGCATCATCGGCTGCTGGCACACGAAAGGGACGTAACTCTGCAGTGCGCTTTGCTACGCCTTAGAGGACTAGGTCGCCCGTTAAACTTATCGATGTATATGTGGTCTATTACAAATACACAACACATGCAGAACGGTTCAATGACTATCCCTGTCCAATGCGGATGTTGTTGAATGTCAATCAGTACAAACCTGAAGCTTGACAGGACGACCTTATTCATGTTATGAATAGAAAGGATCCGTTAGACTGTGTGTAAACAATCTGTCGTTAGTATGGCAAAACAATGGAAAGTACATAGCTAATCTTGTAAGTGTAACAGTTGATTTTGAAATCAACAGGAGTAGACTCCGAACTACTTTTACCGACGAGTGCTGCTATATGATATACAAACGCGCGCTTGAGTCAGTTGTTAATCATACGCCAATTAAACAATTATGTCAGTTTTATAATGTTGAAAATACAAATAAATGATTTGGGTATTTTAAAGCTTCAAGAAACAAATTGGCCCTCAGGTGTTTTACACAGACACCGGTTCGCGGGACATGACCTTTAGAAAATGTGAATCTTTTGCAATGACTTCATAGCATGTTTAACGAGTGAGTGAGTCTGGTTTGACGCTGATTTCGAACAGAATTACTGAGTGTATTTAAGTGGTATTGCGGCATGTCGATGTTGGAAGACCCACATATAATAAAAATAAAGTAAATATGAAGTAAAATAGATTTAATATATATTATTATACATTCATGTGATTATATCTAACAATTTAACCTTAATGTCCCGCCCGGAGAGCGGAAGGTCCGGGGTTCGATCTCCGGCCGCGTCATACCAAAAGACGTTAAAAGATGGTACTTGTTGTTACCCTGTCTGGCGCTCGGTATTAAGGGCCTAAAACAAGGACTGGTCAGCTCGGAGTCAGTCTACTATGTCTGAGTGGGGTATTCATGTTAAACTGCGGCATGGTATCTCAGTGGGCTAGCACTATAAATCGGCATCAGTCCGGACTAGTACAAGCAGCCACACACACACACACACACACACACACACACACACACACACACACACACACACACACACACACACACACACGTGCATGCACGTCGCTATATAAGTGCAATAATCTTGGACGCGACGTTAAACCCCATTTCACCTCACCTTTACCTTAATGTCAATTTCACACAACGAGTGCAGGAGAAGATCATGTCTCAGAGTGCCTTAATGCCTCAATAACAAAGGTTTCTCCATCTAGGACATGCTTATGTTTTCTCACCTTCATATGTGAAGGTTCCAACAATATCAATGCACATGAATCCATATTGTATTATCAATATCAATATATATATTACATAGGAGGTTCTAGATGCTCATAAGAAGTTTTATTCGGAATACATATATATGAAATCGTTAAATCAATATCACATGTTAAACGTCATATATTTGACTTCAGTCGCTTCTCCGTCTTCGTCTAAGTACACTTGTTGATGCAGCTGATATTGAACTTAGAATAGAACATACACCTGAAAGATAAAAGACAAATGAGTCCTGTTGATGCTACCGACAACATGTTTACCTAAATCTAAATATACTAAAGAACCAGACCCGTGAAGATTCCGGTGTAGAATAGGTCTTCAGCAACCCATGCTTGCCGCAAAAGGCGACTATGCTTGTCGTAAAAGGCGACTAACGGGATCGGGTGGTCAGGCTCGCTGACTTGGTTGATGCATGTCATCGGTCCTTATTGCGTGGGTCGATGCTCATGATATTAATCACTGGATTGTCTGGTCCAGACTCGATTATTTACAGACCGCCGTCATATAGCTGGAATATTGCTGAGTGCGGCGTTAAACAACAAACCAACCAACCAACTAAAGAACCAAGCACAACGTCAAAGTAAACCATGTAACGAAGTCCTTTATAAGTTACTTCATTTTGTGATAGTAATAATTACTGACCTAATTACACACATTGCTTATAAGTTATATATATATTGAAAAGCTGTAGGATTGGGTATATTGTGTCTTCATAACACATGTTAGAACATACCAACAACAGAATATATCTACATGTAGTTCAGTATAAAGAGAAGTTGACAGCCTGAGCTTTGCATTTCCTATACAGGCGTTGAAGCAGAATGTCACCAGTTCTTACCTGAAAATATGTAGGTAAATTCATATATCCCACTTGTTTTATACAAGAGACCTAAAAGAAGAAAACATATAATAAAATCATCTGATATTATATTCAACTAATTTCACTACAAGCTATTGAGACAAGTTTCAATGCTAGGGGTGGGGGCACGAGTGGCCCGGTCGTCTCAGGCGCCGCGATTCGCTGTGCAGAGTTGCGTCCCTTGGGCATGCCAGAAACCTAGGATTGTGGGTTCGAATCCCGGTTATGTTTCTATGTTTGTCAGCACCATACCCGTGCTCGTGGGTTTCACCGAAGTGGTAAACGTCTGAGACCTGCATCACTTTGGGCTTTCCTCCCACATTAAGCTGACACGCCGCGATATGACTGGAATACTTTTAAAAGCGGCGTTAAACCCAACTCACTCACTCACTCATTACATCATTCTACCACATTATCAGTGATTCCGACAGTTAAATCCACGTGATACGTCTTTAAAATTGAGCATATGTGCTCTTTACTGTAGATTTGGAACTCTATTACGTGTGATCAAACTTACTTGCAATAGGGGGTCCCAACAGTTGTCCAACTCCAATAAAGAAACACAAGATTCCATACGAAATAGAAGCATTTGGCAATCCATGAAAATGTATTGCCATAGGTCCAAGAAGTGAGTATACACCATGGCAATATGTCCCATACAAAAAACTGAAGACAAGCTGTGCATTATAACTTGGAGGAAATAATGGGAAGACGAGTGCTAATATTCCTGTCACTCCTGTTATTCCAACCTGGAGCATCACATCGTCAATATTTGGGTCAGATGAAATAATACCCACAAATATTCTTGAGAAGATACTGCCCGCACCCGCAGCGGTCAGCAGAGTTGCGGCCTGAATAGGAGAACTGCCTTTATATTCAGCGTAGTTCGGCAGGTGTATAATACAAGATGATGCTCCCAAACACCACAGCAAAACACTGACATTGTACATTACAAAATCTAATTGTATGAAGATCCTGAGCCGTGTAAGCAAAAGGGATACTTTGCATATTGGTTTTGGCGAACCTACATCTGATGATTGGACAGAATTGGCTTCTTCTTCTGGTACCATCAGAGTTGTCGCTTCTGAATCCTGTTGTGAGCAACCTCCTTCTTCTGTCTTGCTGGCAATGGGTTTATTTGTTTCCTGATGTCTGACTGGACGTAACAAGGCGCCAGCAATGCACATGTTGAAGCCAATACCGCCCATGATGAGAAGGGTACCGTGCAGGTGGTATTGGTCGAGGAGGTACCGTGCGAATGGCCCCGTAAATAGACCCGCTCCACTTCCGGCCATGGATACTCCAAAAGCAATAGGTCTTCGTTTGAGAAAGTATTGTCCCGGGACTACCCCAGCTACATTTGCAGCAATACCTAACGCCACACCTGTTATAATAACAAGACAACATAGAAAACGCTACCACATTGCCTGTTCGAGGGCATTTGGTTTAACACAACATGCGATTTAAATATTGAGTAATATTTGTCACCATCGTTCCATTTAGTCGCCTGTAAAGTTCAAGTTCTTTAATCTATATAACTAATATATATAACATCAATATATTGAACGTTCATGCATACAGCCGCACTCAGCAATATTCCAGCTTTATAACGGCGGTCTGTAAATAATCTAGTCTTAACCAGACAATCCAGTGATTGACATCATGAGCATCGATCCACAAAATTGGGACACGATGACATGCTCCAACCAAGTCAGCGAGCCTGACCACCCGATCCTGTTAGTCGCCTTTTACGACAAGCATGGGTTGCTGAAGACCTATTCTTCCCAGGATCTTCACGGGTCATCCACTATGCTAAATAATGCACATTTACCTGTCTTTCTTGTGAATACAATGGACGTACGATCACAAAATGAGTTTCATCTTCAATAACTGAACACCCCAAACAACATTTATCAGTTCAGTCCAGCGGCCAGTTTCTAATGTTAATTTATGGTTGCCACATCTACATCTACAGTCCGTTTGACTCCAAATGAGAACGATGAATTGCAAAATAACTCGAAATCCAGAAAAGTGTATGAAACATCAATACGGTTCTTGACCATGAATACCCTGTACCCAACAAAATCTGAATTTTGTTTATTTTAAGACCCATGGCGGATGAAGTTCTTTAAGAAACTATCATGTAATTTTGTATAGAAATGTGTACATGACACGTAGGGGGGACAAACCCTGGAAGGCACAGCGCAAGCACGCATGTACTGCACGTTCTGTGGTAGGGGAAATTTCAGTCGCAATCTGACTCGCTCATGCCATTGATCTCGTCGTCGGAACTGCTGGTGCCTGAACCGACTGCCACTATTATAGGTTGGTATGTTGCTGGCCGTAGTCAATCTCGTGACCAATAACGTGGCTCTATCTCGTCAACGACTGTGGCCACACAACGCCTCCATGTTTCTACTGTTACCCGACCAAGGGATTCCTTAACGAGTTGTTCAACGTCTCGTAATTTGAACGTTGTGTTCGATCGTCCAACGTCACCCTTGACGATGCCCCATACCAACTCGATTGGATTCAGGTCGCAGTGATAAGGCGGCAGTCGTAAGACAGCGTGACCCTGACCCTTGATGTAACTGTCAACTTTATACACGGGGTCAGGTTTCATAGTTTTGCTGATTTCATAGAGCTGTGGTTTCGTCGCTCGAGAAGGAAAGGTTCCTCCGTTGCAGCCAAGTAACCATGCCTCCTTTACGGTTATTAGAGGTTGGAGTCTTTCATCCTGGATCCTGCACACTATGATACGGTGCATTGTCCATGACAATGAGAGACTTGGTAGGCAAAGCAGGGACTAATATATCTTTTACCCACTCCAGAAATACATTGCCGTTCATTTCTGTGTGGTAATCCCTGTTGTCTTTGGCCTTGGCTCTAAAGACGAGGTCACAGTCTTGGAGAAAACCCTGACTAGCAGAACCAGCATGGAGAACTATGAGACTTTCACCCTTTCCCATTGGTAACTTTCTACCAGACTCCTTACAGTCACCACTGGGTACCCACTGACTGCTGGCTGTGTGTGACGCATTAACCCATGTCTCATCTAAGAAGACGAGCTCATATCCTTCTTCACGTTTCTGCTTGATGGTACGAAGGTAATGCTCTTAGAGACGAACAATGGCAGACTGTTCACACAACACAGCTCTATTTTCTCCAGTTATCTTTTTGTATTTGTAACCAAATGTCTGCAACAGCTGCCATAGTTTGTACTTTGTAACACGTAAATCATGGTCACTTTCAAGGTGTTTCTTCAAAATTCTTAGGGACAGGTACTTATTTTCTGAGTGCAGTTTAACAATTGCACGCCTGACTTGATCCCTCGGAAAACTGTCTAATTTATCAACCTTGCGTGGTTTTAACACATTCCCTACCTCCTTGGCTTGACTATTTGTATCTCGTCGACTAACAACATTTTAAAGTTTCTGAGGGGACATACCAAGAGCTTTTGAAGCTTGTTTCAAGAATTTATTAATTGCATAACACGGCTTTGCACTTTCTGCTTCACTTCTAAAGAAATCATACACATTCAACATTAACTGTTTAACATCTGCTGAGTAGCGCATCTTGTCATTGAATGAACACGGTCACTGTGTAGCACGTGCAGACCGTGCAGACCGTGCTTGCGCTGTTCCTTCCACGGTTTGTCCCCCTACGTGACATGTACACATTTCTATACAAAATTACATGATAGTTTCTTAAAGAACTTCATCCGTCATGGGTCTTCAATTAAACAAAATTCAGATTTTGTTGGGTACAGGGTATCCATGGTCAAGTATGGTCATTGATGTTTCATACACTTTTCTGGATTTCGAGTTATTTTGCAATTCATCGTGCGTTTATGAGCAGCATAGGTTGCTGGGGACCAGTTCTAACCCATAATCCCTCCGAACTGAGGTGACTAAAACGTGACTCAGAAGTGGTTATATTCCTACCTGTAATCAATCCGTACGTGATGAACAACCCAAATACTGTATGACAGAAATATGCTAATGTCATCCCAATCAACATCAACACCCCACCAATCATTGCTGTATTTCTGGAGCCCAGTCTCTGATGAACCATGCAAGCAACAGGACCTGTCGAAATCACGAATAATATAGTTCCTGTAACGGGATAGTGCGTGAGTGAATGTTTGATTGCGTGCATGCTTGCGTTTGTTTAAGCGTCGCTTTGAACAGTGAGTGAGTGAATTTGATTTTACGCCGCTTTTAGCAATATTCCAGCCATATCACGGCGGGAGACACCAGAAATGGGCTTCACACATTTTACCCATGTCGGGAATCGAACCCGGGTCTACGGCGTGACGAGCGAACGCTTTAACCACTAGGCTTCCCGCTTTGAACAGAAATCGACTCATATCACTCCGCCCTATGCGGGTCGGCTTCATTTGGGGGAAAGAAAAGCTTTAAATGATGCAGGTATTAGACGTTTAACACTCAGAGAAACCGACGAGAATTGTATGGTGGCGTCAATCAAAGACACAATCATGGCCCACGATGATAGGTTTCAGGCACAATAAAGGGACGTAACTCTGCTCAGAGAATTCCGGTGCTTTGGACGCCTTGGTCACCTATTTTCAATTCTCGGTAATGTTTATTTGAAGACTGAACCATCAATAGAATCATAACAGGTTGTAAAATATAATCAGTTCAACATTATAGTAATGTCAAATGCTTACGCGAAGGAGTATATATTTGGAACTAAGTCAGGGATAGTTTGATAATAATCCCACAATCTGTGTAAATGAAAGCAATACTCCTTCCATATTGACACGAAATCTCTGGTAAAATCGAGTCGATTGCACGATTCCGACTATATCTTGAGCACGTGTTAATGCGTCGCTATTAGTGATGATACAAGGTGTTCGCGAAAAGGTGAGAATATCCTGCCCCTCAGATGACGCCCATAACAAACAATTTTTCACCTGAAAAAGAGTGAGTGAGCTGGGTTTACCTCCGCTTTTAACAGTATTCCAGTTATATCGCGGCGTGTCAGCTTAATGTGAGAGGAAAGCCCGAAGTGATGCAGGTCTCAGACGTTTACAACTTCGGTGAAACCCACGAGCACGGGTATGGTGCTGACAAACCTAGAAACATAATCGGGGCGAACCGGGATTCGAACCCACAATCCTAGGTATCTGGTGTGCCCAAGGGGCGCAACTCTGCACAGTGAATCGCGGCACCTTAGACGACTGGGCCACCCGTGCCCGATGGTAGAAACCAAACAAGCGAATTATTTTTGTCAAATACCAGTGACATGTTCAGTAGAATGTTATGTCAGCAGTGGACAAGTTATGTCGCACTTTGAGATATGTTTCTGTATTGCGACAACGAACTTTTAAAAGTGGGAATTTAGTTGTGCAGAATCAGTCTTACCACTGAGGCAAGTCGTCCCAAAGAGAGTAGAACCAATCCAAGATGTTTTTGTAATGTCATCTTCTATTTCTTCCATGATAGAGATATTGATCACACCAAATGTGTACGCCATTAGTCCAATTGTGAAATGGATGCTGAAAGAAGCTGCAAGCGCCACCCAAGCGTAACCTTGGTCCACTTGTCTTGTGAACAGCATCTGCAAGCATAAAACATAACAGGACAAAAAATAAAAGCTCATACGATTACACAAATGATCACACTCTTAAATTCAATTCAATTCCATTTCGGTTTTGTAGGCCATTGGTCCTTGTGCAACATAAATAAACGTTTAAAGTGTTCACACTATATCATTTGATTTTAATGACAATGTGTTTTAGACATTTGCTGACACATATTTTCCTTGCGTTAATGCTTCAGTTTCTAAGAAAATGTGAACAAGTAGGCCTAAATGTAATTTATTTATAATAAACTAGTGTCCAAAAGAAACGATACCACCTGTTTGCAACGACATAAGAGAAACTAAACAATGCAGAAGTTTAGGATTGGTGTTATGCTTTTGAGAAATCCTTTCACAACATCTGTACAAAAATATCATTTCAATAAAATCTGTACAACCAATATGACAAGCCTTTAAAGATGGGTGGGGTCGAAAAATGAACATTTCGTTAGAGCACTGATCACAGAAACAACGGGAAATGTCACACCACACGTCTCAAAGTCAAGTCAGTAGCGGGTATGTCCACCGTGAGCATCAATACATGCCAGAACACGCCTACGGACTGATGACGCCAAACGTCTGATGACGTTGGGAGTGATGCGTTGCCAATCCTCGAGGAGACATCGTTCCAAGTCCTGGACGTTGACTGGAGGCACACGGCGACGTCGGATTTGCCGATCGAGGTGGTCGATGGGATTCATGTCCGGTGAACATGCGGGCCATGGCAAAACCTGTACGTTGGCGTTGGCAAGGAAGTTCTGTGTCAATCTTGCTGTGTGTGGCCTTGCATTGGCATGTTGGAAAAGGAGTCCACGAGGCTGAATAAAGGGCACCACAACAGGCCGTAGGATGTCATCAAGATAACGCTGTGCATTCAGGTTTCCACGAATTACGACAAGCATCGTTTTGACGTCACCACATATGCCACCCCAAACCATTAACACTCCACCTCCAAACGGCCGGACCTGTTGGATACAGTTAGGCGCCAAACGTTCACCAAATCGTCGGTATACAAGCTGCCGTCCATCGTTTCTGAAGATGAGGAATCTGCTCTCATCAGAGAACATAACACGTGCCCAGTCCCGCCGTTGCCAACGTCGAACTCGCCTGGCCCAGATCAGTCTGTTGTTCCGGTGTCGAGGCGTCAGGAGCGGTCCGCGGTAGGGATGACGTGGCCGGATACCATACTGCCGTAGTCTCCTGTAGACGGTCTGTCGACTGATCCTGTGTCCCAGTGCTGTAGCCGCCGTGGACGTCGCTGTTACGGTGCGGTTCCTCAGGTGTAATACCCGGATGTAACGATCTTCACGGGGCGTGGTTACTCGTGGTCTTCCACTCCTGGGCCTGTCTGACGTCTGACCTGTCTGACGTAACCGCTGCATCAACCTGGTGATAGTGATGCGTGCGCAGCCCAACCTTCTGGCGACGTCGACGTGTGACGCTCCTTGTTGGACCATTCCAACGGCTCTCTCACGTGGCATATCTTGTGTTCTTTTTGTTGCTGTGATATCAACGTGTCTGATCAGCCGTTTTAACAGTTTTTCTGCACGTGCAGAACATGCTAGAGAGGGAAATGTCACTTTCACGAAATTTACGTTTTTTCACGGTAGTGATCACGTGTTCCCGGTATTTTTTATCGACTATGCTGTGTTTGGGATGTGCAATACGAATTGACATGTTTTCATACTTGACAATTCACTTAGTAAAAAACAATTTTGAAAATAAGTTGGTATCGTTTCTTTTGGACACTAGTTTATTCATCAACATTGTTAATTTGTCCATACACTCTCATAAGAGGCTCTACTCTCAAATATGAAATGGATTTCGCTTTTATTTTATCCAGATTCAAACACTTTACATGTCACACTTTTTCCTCTCATGTTAAAAAATGCATATGCTTAAATCTAAGTAAATATGTATATCTTCTTACATTCGTCAGGTTAATGAAGCTTACATAATATTCATCATTTAATAGTGATGTATAAATTCGTTGATGCAATGACTTATACATGTTACCAAAAATACGCTTCTTAGAACAATATTTTAAGCTGTTCCCAAACGAAGAAATAAACTGTAATATTACCAACATCCTGACCGTACCAAACAAACCAAAAACCATAAGAACACAGGAAATATTTAACGGATATAGCCCAGGTAACCCTTTCAGCCAGATCTAATTTCCTCATGAGCAAATATCTCCTATAGGGGATTCAACCCCCGACCTGTGAAGATCAGGGGTAGAATAGGTCTTCAGCAACCCATGCTTGCCGTAAAATGCGACTATGGCTGTCGTAAGAGGCGACTAACGGGATCGGGTGGTCAGGCTCAATGCATGTCATCCTATCCCATCCTATGGATGTCAATCACCGGATTGTCTGGTCCAGACTCGATTATTTACAGACCGCCGTCATATAGCTGGAATATTGCTGAGTGCGGCGTTGAACAACAAACAGACGAACAAACAAACTCAACACCCAAGAGTACTAGAACCTGTACTTTACGAAGAAAGTGTTATCCCAAATATAGCATTTGTTACATCATTAACGTCGCTTTTTTTTCTTGAAACCACCAAACCTCCGTTCCATATAACAAAAAAAAAATTCCAGGCAGATTTAGAAATTTAATAACACTGTTTCTTCAATGGAAAGAGAGCCTCACTAGCTTTACAAACCAGGATTTGGGTACAATTTGTCTACGACAATCTGGTTGAGAATAAAGTACCCAAATAGTTAAAGTAAATTACTGTTTCAACTGGTATACCGTTAAAAACACTTCTCAAAGGAATGAAGAAAGCCAGTTCAGATACAAAACAAACCTATGCAATACTAAAACAAAGAATGTTTTAAGTAGATCAGTTCCTATAAATTAAAACCAGGCTATAGACCACTAGCAACTCATAACTTCATTAATTGCTGAACGTCCGGAAAAGGAAATTGTCAGGATTTTTTTCAAGCGTAAAATAGACGTAAAAACGATCATTTTTTTCTCCGCCTTGTCAAGTGTCAACATTTCCATTCAACTTCTCTAAAGGATCTTTTTATAAATCGTTTGATTCTCAATTTTGTAAAAGAAATAAATTGAATTTTGATTAATTGTAGTTAATTTTTCGTAGTTTTTTCGTCCAATGCCTATATATGAAAAACAAAGTTTTTAAGCGATAACGGCTATTTTGAAGTTATGAGTTGGTTGCTGGGGTATATAGGCAAATGTTTAGGCAATCAAAGGAAGGGGTGATGATACTTGCTTGGAGTTTGCTTGGGAAAAGTAGTCTTTGTTTGATGGGAAGAGGACACGGGTGGGCCAGTCGTCTAGATTCGCTGTGCAGAGTTGCGTCCCTTGGGCACGCCAGAAACCTATGATTGTGGGTTCGAATCCAGGTTCGCCCCGATTATGTTTCAAGGTTTGTCAGCACCATACCGGTCGTGGGTTTCACCGAAGTGGTAAACGTCTGAGACCTGCATCAGTTCGGGCTTTCCTCCCACATTAAGCTGACACGCCGTGATATGACTGGAATACTGTTAAAAGCGGCGTTAAACCCAACTCACTCACTCACTCACCTTTGCTTGATAGGACATTCTGTTGCAAGATTTCAAGCAGTGTGCACATACTGAGACGTATTTGGATGGCCAAGAAGGGAGATCGGTGACACCAGGTACCACACGATTACTCAGATACGATCAAGGTTTTTCGGTTACTCTCCATAATATGTTCAGCGTACCTTCAGGTCAGATCAGTTCGGAAACCCTTTCTATTTTCATGAGAAATCTCTGCATAAAGTATTGTCGATTGTACGACCCCACTCTATCATCAACATGTGTTATGAATCACTATAGAACAGTGATGATACCAGGTGTACGCGAAAATGTCCCTTGGCCAGATGCACCTGTTCGAATACTAGAAAGTCGGGTAATTTATTCCCAGGGAAATCAGACACCCCTCTTTGTCCGAAACAGGAGTCCGATTTGGCGTCAGGTGTTAGATGTAGATGTTGTCATAAGCCAGGTTTTCAGAGTGTTTTATACTCAAGGCCAGATATCAGTCACACAGCTCACCCCTTGCTCTTGTGAGTGGGGGCGGTCGGGTAGCCTGGTGGTTAAAGCGTTCGCTCGTCACGCCGAAGACCCGGGTTCGATTCCCGACATGGGTACAATGTGTGAAGCCCATTTCTGGTGTCCCCCGCCGTGATATTGCTGGAATATTGCTAAAAGCGGCATAAAACCATACTCACTCACTCACTCTTGTGAGTGAGTGAGTGAGTTGGGTTTAACGCCGCTTTTAACAGTATTTCAGTTATATCACTGCTAACATATTTAGACTGGCGTCGTGCTATCTTATACCTGTGTAGAATGGCACCATCATTGAACGTTTTTTGGTATGACGCGGCCGGTGATCGAACCCATCACCTTTCGCTCCCCGGGCTGACGCAGTCATATGAGACATAATACGTGGGCAGTATACTCCTTTTGTCTATGTCTATGTGAACTATACGGCCTTTATCTGGACCTTTGAAACTGAACCTTGTGCGTTGGGTTCATAATTTCACGTGGCTTCGTCAAATATATAGGTAGCATAACCCTTAACTGAAAGGGATCGCGTCCGATGTTGAGTGGATAAAGCATCTTCCTGGAAAGTAGAACCTCGGTGGTTCGTACTCCTGGCCTATCAAAGACGGAAAATGAACGTTGTTACTGTCGCTGGCTCTCGACATTAAGGGGATCAAACTAGGGAAACATAAAGTGTCTGTATCCATGTTAAACTGCGGTATCTCAGTGGATTAGTAAGAACTAAAGTTCGGAGTAGTACAAGCAGCCACACACACGTGTAGGCAGTCACTATGAAACCTATATGTTATACTAGCCACATAAAGAAACTGTGCACGGAGAAAATATAGATATAAGGGCACACCGTCCATATATGAAATATAGGTTTGAACACAGCAATTATTGGAGACATTCAAACGCCCATGCACGTGCCATGCGATATGACGTCATTGATGGGGGCCTATGGACGTGCAATGTGTTACTGCACGTGCATCCTGTGCAGCTGTACACAGCATGTGCAACTCAAAATTCGCTGTCACTTTGGAAAGCATGATCTGTGGTCATTCAAAAATTCAAAACTTCTCAGGCGCAGACACAAGCATATCACAAGCAAATCATGCCAAGATTGACATCTGACAGCGTCATGAAGCCATTGGAATGATCCGAGCGGGAATGAGGCAACAACGGGTGGCAACACATTTCCAATGCCATCGTAACACGATGTCGGCATTGGTGAGGCGTTATCAGAACACAAATGACGTTGCCGACCACCCACGTTCAGGACGTCCCCGAGTAACGACGCCAAGACAGGACAGATGGATTCGAGTTACACATCTCCGACACAGGTTCCAAATGGCAGTAACGACGTCCCAGACAATTCCTGGACTGCGCCGTATCCATCCCAACACTGTCAGGAATCGTTTACGTCAGTACGGGATTCCACCACGACGCCCTGCCATACGTCCCATCCTGACAAACTGTCATCGAGTCAACCGTCTAAGATGGTGTCGAAATCATGTTCGCCAACCTCGAATATGGTGGAGAAATGTTGTCTTTACAGATGAATCGAGGTTCAACATTTCCCACAGTGACGGGCGCCAACGTGTCTACCGGCGTTTGGGAGAACGTTATGCACGCAAACTGTATGTGGAGAGGAATCGTTTTGGAGGTGGCTCTGTGATGATTTGGGGTGGGATAACAGCACGGCACCGAACCCCTTTGGTGGTTGATCAGGGCAACCTCACCGGTGTTGGCTACAGAGATCAGATTCTGAGGCCTGTGGTCATTACTTTACTGCAACGTCATGGCCCGGGATTGACATTTCAACAGGACAACGCTCGTCCTCAAACGGCTCGGGTCGCAATGGATTTCCTTCCCCATAACAATGACATGTTACTGCCATGGCCTGCAAATTCTCCAGATCTCTCCCCAATAGAGCATGTGTGGGATGAAATGGAGCGCCGTCTGCGTCGTCTTCCACATCCTCCAGATAACGTCCGTGACTTGGCACAGGATTTGAGGAGGTTATGGCAGGCCATTCCCCAGGCCTTCCAGGCCCATTTGGTAGACTTTATGCGTCGCAGATGCACTGCTGTGATTCACTTTGTGACTTTGTCGTTTGACTACCTACTCCATTTTGATATTCTGACGTCATCGTAACAGATGATGTTCAGGTCCCGTTGACATTTTCTTATGGTCCGATCATTCAGCTGCTACAGCGTCTGCATCATTTTGTTCTTGCTGTGTTGTATTTCAATCCAGAATATATTTTCTCCGTGCACAGTTTCTTTATGTGGCTAGTATATATTACAATGTATATTGTGAGTTTACCATCGAACTCGAACGTGTGATATGTTGCCTATAAAATCTACGTTTATATATTACAATGTATATTGTGAGTCTACCATTATACTCGAACGTGTGATATGGTGACATGGTGACATATAAAATAATCAACGTTTGTATATAACAATGTATATCGTGAGTTTGCCATCATACTCGAACGTGTGATATGGTGGCATGGTGACATATAAAATCAACGTTTGTATATTACAATGTATATTGTGAGTCTACCATTATACTCGAACGTGTGATATGTTACCTATAAAATCTACGTTGATATATTACAATTTAGATTGTGAGTCAACCATTATACTCGAACGTGTGATATGGTGACATGGTGACATGGTGACATATAAAATCAACGTTTGTATATTACAATGTATACGGTGAGTCTACCATTATACTCGAACGTGTGATATGTGACCTTTAAAATCAACGTTGATATATTATGATGTACATTGTGTTCTTACTATTGTACTTGAATGTACAGGTCAAAATTGTGTTGACCTATATGACACTCACCTGGCTTATGCGTTATGGCAGTTGGTACAAGTAGGCTACTGCTCGGTATGTGTCGTTATTGCACTCCACTAGGCTTTCTTACTCGGTACAGCTATGCGTGATTAATTATGTATGCAACGTGCGTCGTCAACCCATATCAAACAACAAGGGCCATGTATATCTTCAAACGCAGCGTATAGCATAATCTCTAGTATTGTGGTCTTGTTAGCAGATTAACTCTTAACTTACCTGGATATGGTCCGCCTGAACATTTGCTCCATCATGTCCTTTATCTTTAATTTGGTGCATATTCCTTGATATTTGAAGGATATCCCAACCTGTTAGAATGCTAATTTCGATCGTTGTGGCGTGTTCATTTCATATGCACGTGCCGAGTCCTTGCAAATTAGCCAGCTGTGCCAGGACCTAGACTTGCCCCAGGCGTGAGCTCAGTTTATTCATATTATTACGTAACTGTTATTAATCTATCTATTTTTGTTTCATATTAAATGTATCTACTACTTCTGTTCACACAATCTGTTATGAAAACATATTTTATATTATTTCCCCCTCTCAGGTAGTTTCTCTTTACTCTACACCAAACTATGGTGACTTTGATTTTATCCTTTCTTATTGTTATCCAATTAATCTGTTTTTTTATTACTATTCTACAACCGACAATTTCGGTTGATGTATATAGATTTTGTTCATGTTTCGAAAGTTCATTTTGTGTTTGTCGTGTTTTGTTTGTGAGTGTTGTGACATTCTTTCTCTCTGTAGTTTTCATTTAGCTTTCTGTTGTCAGTTTCTGGTTATATAGAGTGCACTGCAGCATTACAAATTTATACTTCGCGCGTAACCTCCCGGCCTGCCTCTATAGAAAACAAATATATTCTGTTAAAAAAAAATGCCGGTAGATATAGTGCATTATAGAAAGGCGGTGGGATATTTTGTTTCTTGCCTTTATAGCAAGGCATCTTGCAAATTTACAAAGTAATTGCTGTTTCTCTCTTCCTGTTGTATCTATAAGCTAAATATAGAATACTAAACGAGCTCCCGTGTAATACCAATTTTATGAAACGAGTGAATAGTTGTGGTATCTGACGAGCGAAAGCGAGTCAGATACCACAACTATTCACGAGTTTCATAAAATTGGTTTTACACGGGAGCGAGTTTAGTATTTTATTTATTACTTGCAATTTATAACGTTTTTTGAATTATACTGTTGAGTACGAATAGGCTGACACCTACATGATCCACGACATGAGTTTACCAGAATAATACTTCAAACACGTCAAAAGTTGAAACGTATGAATTTCATACCATACAACGGGTCTACCTTTAGAATTCACAAAGTTATCGTAGGGCTAAGACTTTCGCATCTCACATACTTTAACTTAGGCCAACGACTGTCGTTGCGCTACAATACGATCGCCTTGTGGAACGGGCCTTGCACCTCAAAGTTTTCAAAAACGTCACAATACCCGATGACGTAATTTGTGGAATTTTGATGCAAGATCCATCGGCGAAACAATGCCATGTGACGTCAGCCTAGCAACAAGGTTGCTGGGGTCATCGAGTGTGCATAAGCTCCTCTCAGTGATCTATCAACTCCACACGCAATGTCGTTGAATAAGCCAAGGGATGTTGAGAGCTTTCAATATTTGTTCGTGAAACGTGTTCCGAGAGTATATAAGCACGCGTTTTGGTATTACACAATGTGTAATAAAGCTGTATGTTTATTAAACGGGTGATCTCTTCACGGGCAAGTAATAAGAATTATTATTATTATAGTTGTGATACTTCTCTTGTGTTGCGGGGATGTGCACCCAAACCCTGGGCCAGTAGAATATGCTAATTTAAAGATTGTTCATCTAAATGTAAGGAGTTTAAAGGACAAGGTAGATCTACTCTGCACTGAATTTCATTCATACGATATTATTTGCTGAACCGAAACTTGGCTGCATGACGGCATACCTACTGTTGATCTTTCAATTTCAGGTTTTCATTTGCCAATTAGAAAAGATCGACCAAGTCGAGGCGGGGGTGTAGCTGTATATGTAAAAAACAATTTATATGTTAAAAACATGGATCATCTGTGCGTAAATGGACTCGAGGCATTATGGGTAAAGGTAAGATGCAACACCAGTAAATACGTAGTAGGGACATTCTATAGGGCAGATAAAAGCGAGGATTACTGGGAGTTGATAGATCAGTCAATATGTAATGCAATAGATTTGGATATACCAACTATTATAGATATTCTTAGACAAAGTAAGAGCAAAATAGATCACTTACAAGCAATATATTGGTTGACCCAAATGATAGCTTAACTGAGTGAGTGAGTGAGTGAGTATGGTTTTACGCCGCTTTTAGCAATATTCCAGCAATATCACGGCGGGGGACACCAAAAATGGGCTTCACACATTGTACCCATGTCGGGAATCGAACCCGGGTCTTCGGCGTGACGAGCGAACGCTTTAACCACTAGGCTACCCGACCGCCCAGCTTAACTGAGACAAAGTGGGATCATTTGTTGTCATCCAGAAATGCTGACGTTATGGCAGAATGTTTTACCAGGACAATAACTGACGTATGTAATAATCATTTTCCTAACAAATGTGTAACAATAGACCTAATGATCCACTATGGATCACTAGTGAGATACGTCGACTCATCAGGATACGTAACAGAATTCATAAGGTTGCTAAAAGGCGTAACTTAGAATCTGACTGGACTAAATTTCGTCAAATAAGAAAAACGTGTCATCTCCTATGTTCGCACTGCAAAGAGAAAATATGTACTCAAGATTGATAGTAAAATTGATGATGCGTACGACGAAAAAGTATGGTGGCGGCTTGTTAAAAAATATCTGAGGGGCACCAGTAATACAAAATTTCCTCCCATTAACACGATTTACTATATGATGATACAAGAGATATTGCAAATGTGATGAACAATTATTCCTCTGACCAGACATCTGTTAAATATCCTGATAAAACTCTCCCTTATATTAAGCTCAAAACAGAAAAAATGCTCTCTACTATCATTTTAACAACAAAGGAAGTTCACGATGTTCTCCTATCTGTTAATGTAACTAAAGCAACAGGGCCCGACGGTATCGGCAATAGATTATTGAAATCAAGTGCTTCAGCGATATCATATCCACTGGCTAAATTGTTTAATGTATCCCTGGATAAGTCTACCTTTCCGGTAAGTTGGAAAGAAGCTCCCGTTGTGCCTATTTATAAGAAAGGCCACACTCATGAATGTAGTAATTATAAACCTATAGCTCTCACGTGTTGTGTGGCTAAAATATTCGAAAAATGCGTTTTCAAATATGTTTTTAATTACTTAAGAGATAATAATTTGCTTACAAATCTTCAATCAGGTTTCATGCCAGGAGATTCTACCGCTAACCAGCTGACTTACTTATATGATTTGATTGCTAAAGAATTGGATAGAGGCAAAGAAATTAGAGCAGTCTTTTGCGACATTAGTAAGTCCTTTGATAAAGTCTGGCATAAAGGCATTATCCATAAACTCAAATCCTATGGTTTTGAAGGGAAATTAATGAGATGGTTTGAAAGCTACCTAAAACAAAGATGCCAACGGGTTGTTATCAATGGGTATAGTTCAGACTTACGACCAGTTACGACCGGAGTTCCACAAGGGTCAGTTTTAGGACCGCTACTGTTTCTAATTTTCATAAACGACGTTATAGACGATATTGTTAGTAATATAAGATTGTTTGCCGATGACACATTCCTATATGTCGTGGTAAATGACCCGAATACAGCAGCACATTGTCTGAATTACGATCAAAGTAGAATATCCACTTGGGCAGAAAACTGGCAGGTCGATTTCAATCCTAATAAAACAGTATCTATCCAATTTCCCCGGAAGATTCTTCCAAATGTAAAACCAGTTTTGAAAATGAATAACACTACTGTTCAGGAAGTTCATTCTCATAAACATCTAGGACTTACTCTCCAAGAAGATTGTATGTGGAACGATCACATTGATAGCCTAGTCAAGAAAGTCAGTCCAATGATTAACTGTCTCAGGAGTTTCAAGTATCGTTTAAATAGAAAAAAACACTGGAAACTATGTATACATCTTTCATATTACCGATATTTGATTATTGTTGCCACATATGGGACAACTGCACAAAAGAACAGGCGGTTACTACTTGAAAAACTAAATCTAGATGCACTCAGAACTATTTGTGGGGCTGTTCGTGGCAAAAGTCACGGTAAACTTTATAAAGAGACAAATCGTACGTCATTAGAAGAAAGAAGGCATTTTCAAAAGTTAAATATTTTTTTATAAAATGGTTAACAATGTAGTACCTGACCAGCTCTCATCCTTAGTTCCAAAAATAGTGTCGGATGCAAGTGATTATAATTTGAGAAACTGTTCACAGCTCGAAGCCACAAAGGGTAAATCAAATAATTATGCCAAATCTTTTATTGCAGATACAGTTAATATTTGGAACTCACTACTATTGAATACACCAATGCCAGTAGCTTAGGAAGTTTTAAAAGTTGTATAAAAAGCAATGATAGGAATGGTATATATACTAGCCACAAAAATAAACTGTGCACGGAGAAAATATATTCTGGATTAAAATACAACACAGCAAGAACAAAATGATGCAGACGCTGGAGCAGCTGAGTGATCGGACCATAAGAAAATGTCAACGGGACCTGAACAACATCTGCTGCGATGACGTTAGAAGATCAAAATGGAGTAGGGGGTCAAACGACAAAGTCACAAAGTCAATAACGGGTATGACCACCCTGTGCGTGAATCACAGCAGTGCATCGGGGACGCATGGAGTCTACCAAATGGGCATGGAAGGCCTGGGCAATGGCCTGCCATATCCTCCTCAAATCCTGTGCCAAGTCACGGACGTTATCTTGAGGATGTGGAAGACGACGCAGACGGCGCTCCATTTCATCCCACACATGCTCTAGTGGGGAGAGATCTGGAGAATTTGCAGGCCATGGCAATAACATGACATTGTTATGGTGAAGGAAATCCATTGCGATCCTAGCCGTGTGAGGACGAGCGTTGTCCTGTTGAAATGTCAATCCCGGGCCATGACGTTGCAGTTAAGGAATGACCACAGGCCTCAGAATCTGTTCTCTGTAGCCAACACCGGTGAGATTGCCCTGACCAACCACCAAAGGGATTCGGTGCCGTGCTGTTATCCCACCCCAAATCATCACAGAGCCACCTCCAAAACGATTCCTCTCCACATACAGTTGCGTGCATAACGTTCTCCCAAACGCCGGTAGACGATGGCGCCCGTCACTGTGGGAAATGTTGAACCTCGATTCATCTGTAAAGGAAACATTTCTCCACCATATTCGAGGTTGGCGAACATGATTTCGA